AAATAAATAAAGTTTGGTGGGGGACTTAGAATTTTCTAGTGTGATGTTACAGCTACCAAACTATAACATAGAGCAACCAATTCTAAGTCCCTCACCAAACAACAGTTCCATGGTTCTGCAGGATGGAGAGATGGCAATAAAAGTGGTATTCAAGTAGTATCACTAGGTTGTATGGTTACACCCGGATTTAAGGCTACTTGGTACAATTTATTCCCATAAGGTGGAAGGCAAAAGAGGCTAAGATCAAGGGAAATACTGATTTCATGGAGAGGCTATAACCTGAAACCTGAGCTTGGAAAAGTTACTTGAAAAGTCTGCCATGAGTCAGGGCAAATCTTGGAAGTGAAGGTTAGGAGAATGGACTTTGGAGTGCTAGTAGTTTGAGAAGAAGCACCAACTATCACTATAATCTTTTAAAACAAAACCCCAACCTATTTCAATAAACACCAAGCTCCCACAGGAAACTCCCAAAGTAACTTAAAAGAACAAGCTCTCAAAGTAATTATCTCAAGCTCTGTTTGAATTAATGATTCCTCCAGTTCACACTCCCACTTGTGAAAATTACTTGTGTGAAATTGTTGGTCAAATTGTATTGGCTGTATCTTGCTCTTCAGTGTCCATTTTACACAATGTTTTTTAAAAAGTTAACAGGTCTGCTGGATTAGACTATTTAATAGTAGGGACAAAAATTGCCACTAGAAAGGTCTATATGAGCAGTTATAATACAGTAACTTTTTATTTATTCCTTAGTAGCAACAAAATTTATTTTCTTTGGTAATTCTGAAGACCGATCTATTGAAGATAAAGGAGCAAACTAAACAGGGGTACTACGGCTACACACATTGCCTTTAGCCAAAGATTCCTCCATCTCCATGTGTTGACCTACAATTTCCAACAACCACACATATTGTGGATATGTTTGTAAATGTTTGAACAAAGGCAACATGTAGTTTGTTTTGATCACAGTATGTTCAAAAACCAACTTTGAACTGTTGTTTACAACACTGGCTGTTTAGATAAAACTTTTGTTAAAAAAGAGTTTTTTGTGTGTGGAAAGGGTGTTATAAACAAACATTGTTGTTGCTGTTAGTTATTGTCTTAGGCATGAAAACAAAATATAAAAAAAGAAAGTAAATGTTACCAAACCCCTTCCTGAATCTGCCCCTGACAAGGGCTTTGTCAGGTTTATTCCTGTAGTGCTAAACTATGGTTTAGATTGGGGTACAGTTTCAAGCCTAGCATGTCATTCCTGAAATTTTATTAAGTCTATTCATTCTGCATCCCTTTAATCTTTGTCTTCATGCTGACATTTGACTGGCAGTCTATAACTGTATTCATAGGAAGGACTACATTCAGAATAGATGCTAAGAAGGATGTTACTTAAGTATATCTTTAGCTCAGTCGGAAATGGGAATGAAAATCTAGTTCAGATAATTAGTCAAAATGTTATGTTCAGAATGACTACTACATGCCTAACTATCCCAATGCTGTATTGGAGTAAGTTATACCCACTTGGATTTGCTGATAGCATAATTTAGCCAATGTAGCATAGTGGTTTGAGTGTTAGACTATGACTCTGGAGAACAGGATTCAATTCCCCGCTTGGCTATAAAACCCATTGGGTCACCCTGGGCAAGTCACATGCTCTCAGCCTTAGAAGAAAGCAATGACAAACCTCCTCTGAACAAATCTTGTCAAGAAAACCCCATGATAGGTTCTCCTTAGGGTCTCAGTAAATTGGAAATGACTTGAAGGAAACAACAACAAACTAAACTTGTGAGAGAAGCTCCAATCTCTTGATCAACTGACAGACTGCTCAAGTCATCTTTCCCCAAAGACTGGCATTTCTCCAGGCCCTGTCCACAACACCAAGTTTTCTTTCACTCATGCAAAGCAGATTCAAAGGATGTTCAACTCTGTGCTAATCCCATTTTTGTCTTTACCTGATGCAATTACAGAAGTGTGGAACGCATACTATTCTGACAATAATCTGTTGGCACTGGTACTCATAAAGCAACTTCAAGCTACTTGGGTACTGGATGCAACAAACTATTACTTCAGCACATGACTCCAGTTTAACAAAGATACTTGCTGCCATATTTAGGGAGATGAATTCTCACTCTATTCATAAATTGGACTCCATTTTAGAGAGCACTGTTAGGAGCATGCCTTCCCCCTCATAATTGTCTATTCAGTACCATAATGATATTCACAAAAAGATTCTTTTGAAGCCCAGATAAAGATCTTGTCACCAAGATACTCATTCTTTCTCACAGCGCTGAGAGCACTATAGTAGTCATCCTTCATCTTAGCTTATAATGGAAATTTAATTTCCATACCAATTTAAAGTGCAGTATCCCAAAAGACTATTCATAAAAGTATCTTTGGGAGTCCTAAGGGAAGGTCTCTTAAGGAAATCCACTTCTAATGTGTATTTCCATGCTTTTCAATTTGCACTTTATTGCAGAATAGAAGGCGAGGCATCTTTTCAGAACTGGTGGGAAATGGGAGTGAAGAGCACATAAGAGTTAGCATATCTAAGCAACCATCATGGAAGAGAAACAAATCCATTTGGGATGCAATTGCTTTAGGGAATTTCACAAGGTATGTTAATACTTTGCTGTTACCTTAATGAACATGTTTCACTTTTTTATATGGTTTTCAATCTGCAACACTTTAAACAGTATTTTGTTACACAGTGATGAATTCAGAACAATGTATGAAATGGCTGAATAGAACAGTCATTCCAAATACCCTTAACTCCCAGAGAGAAATAAAAGAAACACAAATTATTTGACCTGGGGAATTTTTAAAAAATGTTGAACAGTATTAATAGACTCCAGCAAAAATAACCACCCCAAAACAGGTATCACCTGCCTATGAGAAATTTTCAGTACTGGTTGGTCTGGTGTATAAAATTCTATTCACCCTCAAGTTATTGCTTCCCAGAAAATGGGCATTTAATAACAACAACAACAACAACAACAACAGTAGATAATTAATAGCAAAGTAGAGAATAAAATGTGCCAAATTCTTTGTGAATCCTGAAATGAAGACCTCCTAACACCAAAATCTTCAAATCAGGTGGTCCTGCCACTTCCTACCTGACAGTGATGTTGCTCCACGATCAAAAGTTAAATTGTTTCAGCCATGTCATTAAATAAATCCTTTGTGCAAAATCTACAGATGCATTTATCCAGAAAAATCATTTTGAGATTACACATTTTCAGTCTTTTCTATGTCACTTTCTGAAAACTCTGGCTATACTAACCATGATTTGAGACAAACTAGCTATCTCTTAAATTGTAAAAACAGCTTGGTCCCTCAATACGGAGCATCTCTCTGTATATTCACTTGCCTGAGGTCTACTGGAAGAGCCTTCTTCTGTGTCCCATCAGTAAGGGGGATATGCTATAAGAGGATGTGGGGAAGGGCCTTCTCTGCTGTAGTGCTCCCCCCCAGGAATGCCAAAATCGTATCCATCTGGCATTCAATGGTTGTTTAAGAAAGTCTTTGGTGCCTAATTGGTTTTACATGATTCTATGCAAATGTGTAGTTTTAAATAATTTCACAAATAATAATTTTCCCTTTTGTAATTTAATATATTTTTAGCCTTCTGAAATTTTTATTGTTTACTTTGTAATAAGTTGGTCAATTTGATTTTAAGCCATCCTGAGATCTTTAGAGAAAGAATGGGATTTATTTATATTTATTTATTATATGTTTATTTATTTATAAATAAGATGAAAAAGCAAAATTTCCTATTTCTTCAAGTCAATCATCCTTTCAACAATTTTTTTTGCATTTTTCTTCAAAAAATAATTTCTAACTAACAGTACCAACACAGTACAAACAAGGCAGTGCTTTTTGATGCTTACCATTGATAAATTGAACAAAATCATAGCCAAAATGTATTTGATCGCCTTTTCAAGAACATTCCTCCTAGGTTTTGTACAAGATTGCAGTCAAAACAACTGACTCTTGTATATAACTCTTTAACCTACAAAAGCAGTGTTTTTCAGCATACAGACATTTGTATCTTTACCACATGCCATTTTTATTGCCTTTCACACTTTCATGACAGACTACTAACCAAGTCTACATCTGCCTAGCATTTGACATTCCCAGATCATTCTGCAGACACCAGTTCTTACGAAATTGCAATCTGTATTTATTATTTTGAAGTATGGCTTAATGTAGGACTTGCACTTTACTATCTTTGCAATATTTAAATAGAAAATGATCATTGCAAACTTGTAAAGACATCACAGAGTCATATTTAAATCTGGGGAAAAAAATGAAGTCAAATGATACCACTGATTTTTTTTAAAAAAACCTGATATATAATATCCATTATTAGAAACATTTTATACAAGAAACTGGATACAGCCGGCCTTCTGCGTCCATGGATTCTTTATCCACGCATTCAACTATATATGGCTTGAAAATATTCCAAAAGTATATTAATTCCAAATAGCAAACCTTGATTTTGCTATTTTAAGTAAGGAACACCATTTTACTATACTACTGTATATAACGGGACTTAAGCATGTGTGTGTGTGTGTGTGTGTGTATTCCTGGAACCAAACCCCAATGGATACCAAGGGCCCATTATATTCAATGTTTTGATTATTTAAAGTACAAAAGATAATTTTATAACAAAGCAGTTTTAATGTAATTTAAAATGCAAAGGTTTTGGTTGAAAAGAGTCTGTAAATGGATCCACATTTTCTCCAGTTGAGGCGACAGCCTTGATATTTCAGCCAGCAAAGTTGGCTCTGAGGAAAGGATTTTAAAGTGCAGCTGAAATGGAAACATAAAATTCTTTATTAAAATACAGACATCAAATGTTAAGAAACCAAATTTTTAGATGTTCAGTGTACTGTTATATAACTTTTTCTTTTTTTTAATATTATTTTATTGAATATAATACATAGAAATTGTAAACAACACAATAACATTACAAACTATAAACAAAGCATGACTAACTAACATATAAAGGTAACTAACAAAACAAAAAACAAACAAACAAATAACAAACAAAAATCATTCATACTATTAACAAAAAACATGAAACATTCTCACATTGTGACTTCCTGAGTCTTTACTAAGTCATTTATCCATTGTTAAGTACATTCTGCCCTGCTTTCTTCAACTAAGGTAGAGGTATAAACTTAGAAGCTATGAAACTGATTGAAGCTATAATATACGCCAGTAGATGGAATAGTAATAGGGAAAATATTATGCAAGGGAAATGGTTGTGCTATAAAGATCT